GAAGGACCCCATGTTTAGGAGCCTGTGAGGACCGACACCTCAGCTCTGTAGTCGGGGAGGGCCCAGCAGAGGAGCAAACCCCAGTGCAGCACGGCGCCGGGAGGGGGCGCTCGTGTCCAGTGCGTTTTCGGGGTAGTGTGCAGTCACCAGAAACACAGTTTGGATCCAATACTTGTTAAAACTTGTGAATTTTATTTTATTTTTATGGGGGAACAGTGTGTTTTTCCAGGACCCATCAGCTCCAAGTCAAGTAGTTGTTTCAATCTAGTTGTGGAGGGCGCACTTCAGTGGCCCATGTGGGGATTGAACCGGCAACCTTGGTGTTATGAGCCTGCGCTCTAACCACCTGAGCCAACCGACCGCCCCTCTTATGGATTTTATCCATCCAGTTCCTGCCTTGGTATGAAGGCTCCTGGGATGCGTCGGTGGGTTCTCATGTGCCCTGGAGGGACCTGCGTCTGCAGGGAGTTGTGTGGCTCTTGGACAAGCCCCAGCCTCCTGCACAGATGAGGTGACCCCTGATTTCAGACGAGTGTGTGTTCCCATTTTCTACTCGCTGTTGCAACAGTACAGATGACTTACATTTGATGTGTCTATCTAATAAACAGCAAAGAATTGTTTTTATTACTTTTTAGTCTATCTTATTTTTTCATATATTTTATTGATTTTTCTACTTGAAATATATTCTTGACATTTTTTAATGAAAAATTTTTGCTAAGGGTAACTCAGACCTTCAAATTATACAATAACGTTTTTTTTGCAAAAGACATAATTTGGATTTATCTTTTCAAAAATCAGCAAATTGAGTTACCTTTATTAGAGATTAAAATAAGAATTTTTTACCTTAATAGAACAAGCAAAGTTTTATATTTTTATATTTTAAATATTTTATAGTGAGATTTTGAGCTCTGAACATAATGGGTGCCCAACACCAGTTGATAAAATGGATGGATGGATGGATGGATGATGGATGGATGGATGGATGATGGATGGATGGATGGTAGATGGATGGATGGATGGATGATGGATGGATGGATGGATAGATAGACGGATGATGGATGGATGGATGGATGGATAGATGAATGGATGGATGGATGGATGGATGGATGATGGATGGATGATGGATGGATGGATGGATGGATGGATGGATGGATGGATGGATGGATGATGGATGGATGGATAGATGGATGGATGGATGATGGATGGATGGATGGATGGTGGAGGGATGGATGGATGGATGGATCGATGGATGATGGATGGATAGGTGGATGAATGGGTGGGTGAGCTGTTGGATGAGTGGAAGCTGGGGTCTGACTTTAATAACAGATTCACATTTTTTTTAATGAAGGTTAATACTTTGGCAAAGAACCTTTTCAGAATGCATCATCTTACACTGAATGTTGAGCAGCAGTCAGCCTGGACGACTAAGCGTTCTAAGAGGCTGACTGTGTGTTCTCGCTTCTTACTTGATGATTGCCGGGAGCTGTGGTCAGAATCCGTAACCCACATCAGAACCCGTAATCCTGCCTATGGCTCCATCGACTCAGCTTTGTGGAATAATGTCTGGGGCGCAGCATGGCTTCCGACGTGGAGTGGATGGTGACGCTGCTCCAGGGAGTGTGTCCTCTGTGCCGTGTACCTGCTAACACAGGCTCCCTCCTGTGAGGGCCCGGCGCCGTGTGGGTGTGTCCAGGACGTTCTGTGCCTGCTGGTGAGGAAGGGGGAGACAGCAAACAGAGCTTTAGTTCAGCTCCAAAAGAAGGACAGAAAAACATTAAAAGCCTAATTTCTTGCTTTGTGAGAAGCACAAAGTAACTCCCACCCCATTAGTTTATGGGACTGCCAGGCCAGGTCTTGGAAAGAGTGTGGACTTGAATCCCTGCACGGTGTTGGGGGAGTGAAGGCGTGATGACCTTTGCATGAACCCCACTTGGGAGCCAGAGGTCTCAGCATGAAATGCCAGGAGCAGACAGTCAGGTGCCCTCCACATTCAGAAATGGGACCCCTCATACTTGCTGTCATTGAGTGAAAGGTACATAGAGTGACATGGGCAATTAGTGAGTTTCCACACGTGTACACGTAGCGCTAGCGCCCCATCAGTCGTCCCCACCCCCCAGTTTTCTCCTGCACCCCACTCCACCACCACCACCCTAGGTCACCTCCCCGCAGTCTTGGACTTGAGTTCACGCTGAGAGAACCATGCTGTCCTTTTGTAAATGGCGTCTTCACTCGGATTTACCTGGATTTTCTCTCGTGTCAGTGTCAGTGTGCGTTGTGGATGCGTCGCCCATAGCACAGAACTTTGGTGGTGGACGCTTGGGCTTGTAGAGGTTTTGTTTGTTTAGCTGCTGTGAGCAAGGCTGCTATGCACAGTCCTGTTAGGTCTTTTGTGGACACAGGTTTTCATCTCTCCAAGGCAAACATGGAAGAGGGCGCACTCCAGGTAACACGGGAGGTGCATGTTTGCCTTTGTAAGTGATCGCCAGTGTCCCCCGGCACCATGAAATGTCACGTCCCCACCCGCAGTGTGGGCAGTTCCTGCTGCTCCATGCCGTCTTGGGAACAGGTTCCCAGCCTGCTGTAATTCAGTGCTTCCGGCGAGCACGGAGCAGGCCTTACGTGGCCTTGGTCAGCCTTTCGGAGAGTGCGGGCGCTGCTGAGCACTGTTCCGTGTGCTGGGTGTCCGTCTGCACATTATTTTAGGAAGCTGATATGTATCATTGTCTAGAAAATACTCACCTGTCTCCACTGACGCCTTTGGATTGAAGTGAAGTGCCTCTGCTGAGAAGACTGTACGTAGAGTTGTTATCAGACCACGTCGTGGAAAATGCTGGTGAGCTCACAGCAGCGTGTCCCAGCCCCCCCCCCTTGTCCGAGTAGTTGATAGCACCTCATGTTTGTGAGTACTGCATCAGTGTCATTAAGTTGTTTTCTTTCAGAGGAATTAGCAGGAGAGAAAAGGTGGTCTTTTCCGTGCACCCACTTCTCTGCCCTTTTGGGAGCTTTCCAACCTTCCTGGGACCCTGAACTTCACCTGGTGTCACGTCTCTTCAGCCCGCAGACCTGTTAGGTCTCCTGGTGACAGATTGTCCACGCTCTTTTTTAAAATATGAAAATGTCTTTCTTTCGCTCTCTTGTTTGAAGGATATGTTCACTGGAGTTAATCATTTTTTCTGTTAACACTTCAAATATGTGATTCATATTTATGTTATCAAACATATAATTACATGCAGTGTGCTAAATATGTCATTCTTACAAGAAGTTTGCTTTGTCCTGTGGCCTCCGTTTTCTTCAGCAGTCACCACTCAGCCATTTCTCTGTGCTGGCCGCTGCTAAGTCTCTTGTTCACCTTTGACCTCAGCGTCCTCACGATGAGGGGCCATTGCGCAGCTCTCTCTGCATTTATTCTCCTTGGGGTTCCCTGAGTCTCTAGGTTAATGTTCTTCACCAATTTGAAGAATTTGTATAGTCATTTTTATCCCACTGGCTCTCCTTTCCATCTCGGACTCCAGTTGCATGCCTCATGTTTGACACTGTCCTGCAGTTACCAAGGTTCTGTTCAGCCTTTTTCAATCCTTCTCACAATGTCCTCCAATAATAATAATTTCTGTTACCTGTCTTCAGATTCACAACCCTTCTTTTGTTCCCCTTTTCCCAGAAGCAGTTAATTTCATTGAGGATCCTTTTGTTTCGAATCCTATCAGGCCAGATTTTGTGACTTGTTTCGCTCAAAATACCACCTACCACGTAGGAGAAATGCCTGAGAGGTGCCCACTGCCCCCACAGAAAACATTTCTATTTTAATCTCTATGATTATGAAAGTAATGCGCTTTGTAGTCAAATGAATGAATGAGCAAAACACGAGCACACACATGTGCAGAAGGACCAGTGTGGAGCCCAGGTCCATGCCAGAATGCGGCCGAGACCTTCCACCCTGTGGTCCCCATGCAGCTTTTGTCCATGAGGTTGGGAGGGGGTGGGTAGGCGTGGGGGGGGTCTGTAGAGAGTATGGGGGGACGGGGTCTCCAGGGCAAGGTGAGAAGGGCGAGGACTTCCCTGTCGCTTGCAAACACAACTGGTATTTTGGGGGCCTTTTTGGAAACGGCCTGTCCTTCCCCTGTGTGCTGCTCCCATGTGCCGCCTTCGTCGTCCAGTTGACAGCTGGAGCCCTCCAGCAAAGGCTGCGGGGTGGGAGCTGCGAGGGAGACCGTCACCTGCAGGGGCCGCACCTCTCCCTCACCTTCCTGGCCCCCACACAGACGTGCACGGCCCTTGGGCCCCCAAAACTGTGCTTTCAATTACCTGCCTTCCAGCAGAGGTTTGAGGGGAGCTCTGTAACTGAAACCGTGTCTCAGGTTGCTTCAAGGGGGAAATGTGCTCTGAGCTCCACCTTGACGTACAGATAAACCCCCAGACGCAGCACGTGTGTCAATCATGGCTGCATGTGTCGTGTAAAGGATGCATTGGCCGCGGTGGCCAGAGTGCCCTTGAGCTTTTCTCTGCCAGCCGCAGGCAGGAGGACCTGTGGGAAGGGTGCCGACTGTCGGGGGTGGGGTGTTAGGGCGCCAGGCAGGGAACTGCGCCCGCCCTTGGGGCACATTCTCCTTTTCCCACGTGAGACGGAACTGGCTCGTTGTCATTGCTTTATAGCCTGAAGACTGGATGAAATGGCTCAATATCACTTTGCCTGGCGAAATAATTCAGGTTATTTTGTCAGGGGTCCTACTTTCCATCCTCCTAATCAGGTTAATTACTTTGTGGATGGTTCTCTGTGGCTCCCACTTCCATCTTAACTTTTTAAAGACCGAACTACGGTGATGGCAGAAGGGCAGGTGTGATTCTAGTTCAACAAACATGACAAATATGTTTTGAACCTGGCGGTGCCTGTCGATGGGAAGGTGGCCTCACAGGGATGGGTCCTCCTGGGACAGGCACCCTCACTTCCTTTGGACATATCGGTGCACCATTTATTTGCTTTTGCTTCTGTGTGTGCCCCCCAGAAGCGCCCACCTCGAGTCTCCTGACTGACCTGAGAAAGCAGCCGGCTCGTGTGGAGCGACTGAGCCCCCTGGACCTCGACCAGGTGGCCCGTGTGATCGCAGACGCTGTGCACGGTGTGGGTGCCTCAGGGCCGTGGGAAGGCAACGCGGGCGAGCCGGCAGGCAGCTCAGACGAGCGGCCCCCCGAGGACGGCGACCAGGGCAGAGACGGCCCGCAAGGTGAGCACCTTCCCAATGTGGTTGGACGGACGCGGCCACAGAGCTGGGGAACGCCGGCTTCTCTCGCCGGGATGCATCCTTTCTGCCCGGAGATGGGATTTGTGTTAATGATTTTTATCTGTTTGAACTTTTGCCTGTAAAAGCTTTCTTACCTGGCTAAGCCGACCAGTACAATTATGTCGAAAGGCAAATTGTTCTCTGTGAAGAGGTGGGATTCGCTGCGTTGAGGTTCAGAGGTGGGAAAATCATGGCTGGCAGAAGTGTTTGTGTTTGGATTCCGTGAGTGAATCTAGTCAAATAGTTGACTAATGAAGTGAAAGGGGTTTATCTGAGTGTCTGCCTAAGGCTCGTCCACCCTCTGAGGCGAGAAAGCGCAGACCCCCGACTCCCTCAACACGTATGCACACATGTACACACACACACACACACACACACGGAGGCGGAACCCTGGGGCAGCTCAGGCTTCCTGACGATTGGCCTTCTGTCTGCCTGATTGCTTCTCAGAGTCATTGGAACTACATTAAAGCATCTCAGTGCCTTGCACACAGTAGGCACACACACAAGAAACGTCTGCCAAAAACACAAGTGAAAGGTGCGTGTCTCCCTCTGTGGGTTGGGTCAAAGGCCTGCCTGGAAGCTGGAAGCGTGGCTCACCTGATAGCAGGATGTGGGAGGAGATACTGGAGCCCCTGCAGGGCCGGGCATGGGAGGTGGCCCCAGCTGAAAGGATGGCTGCCTGCACGGGGCCAGGGCTCCGGAGGGCTCTGCAGTGCAGCTGTTTGGGCGCCAGGTGTTTGGGGTGAGAAGCGCCACGGGTTTGCGGGTGGGGTATTGACTGAGAGATGTGACCAGTACAGAGCAGTAACCCAAGGCAGTGCATCCTGAAGACACCAAATGTGGCGTGGTTTGGGTTAAACGCTTCACTTTTTTGTGACTGTGAACTGCTCCTGGCACAGTGGCTGCGAGCTAACACTATGGCTGACATGTAGGCACCTGGAACTGGCAATGTCATCTATGGCTGACTTCATGTTCATCGTGCAGTCGGCAAACCTCCCCTGCCCCTTCCGTGAAGCTTGCCGAGCACCGTTACTGTCCTACAAGCTGGAAGGGTTTACTTCGTAGTAGAAGTCAGGCCGACACCATGATATGTAGAGAGACTCATGGCTGCTTGCGTGCTGCGACCCCCTGCGATGACACCAATGCGGATTGTGATAACGTCTGTCTTCCACAGATGGCGGAGCGCGAGGCGATGATGGCACAGTTTACGGAGAGGTAAGGGGACGCCGTGCAGGCTTGGTTCACGTTAAACCCAGAGCCATCTGGGCCGCCTTCCTGTTCATGGCTGGGGAACACTTATGAAATACAAAGGTTTTTTTGTTGTTTGCTTTATTTTGTTCTTCTAGGGAAGGATAGAAAAACCCTCATAATCCCCAAATTGAGAAAAGTATAAAGAATGTATACAAAATTGTGAATATTTAGATATATACCACATCTGTTTTCAGATTTTATAGTAGTATTTATCCATTGTAGAAGTATGAAAAATATGGTTAATATAAAGAAGGAAATTGATATCCTTAGACTGTCCCCACCTGGGGATATGGGTGGTGACATCACGTGACACCATCACTGGCCCGCTCTAACTCTTGGCACTGTCCTGTGTGCTGGTTCCTGAGGCTCACTGAACAAGGACACTCATCGGCTCAAGGTCGTCAGACCTGCCCTGTTCGGGGGGTGGTCCCTAACCACATGTGGCTACTTGAACTTTAAATTTATTAAAATGAAGTAAATAAAAACTTTGTTTCTCGGCGGTGCCAGCCACAATCCCCGTGTCCCTGGGTTGTGTGTGGTTGGGTGGTGCGAGTACGGGCCCTTCCCATCAGCCAGACGCTGCCACCCAGCCGGTCCAGAGGGCAGCTTGAGGGCTCAGACACAGGTGACAGCCAGTCACCGGGCGTGTTGTGGGTTTTTTTCTACTGAAGAACCTCTGCTCATTAGTACAGTCTTAGGGGTGCAGAAAATCAGTTCCTAAGAGGTGACAATGACATCACGTGGTTTTACGGAACTATTTTTGTGGTGTGGAAAAGAAACCTTTGCTTAGTGCATCTCATGTCCGTTTGTCTTAGTGGTTTTTGGTTCAGTGCCTAATAGCAAGTCGAGGAAGAAACATGAGCAATTCTTTTAAATGTCCATCAGAAATGGTGGGCTGCCCCGTGTGAGGGGAGAGGGAGAGGTGAGGTCTAAACAGCGTCCACGTTTATGAAGAGGCGGGAGGACCAGTGGCCTCGCAGCCGGGCCCAGGCGGAGGGTCTGCAGAGAACACAAGTCTTTCGGCTCCCAGAGCCGCCCTTGTGGGGACCAGGGCTCCTACTCCCTACTGTCTCGTCCACGGAGTAGAATTCTAGTTTGTCATCTGTGACCTGGGGTACGTTCTCACACAGCTTTCTCCCGAAGGGTATTTGAGTGTTGTGCTTTCTGAGCTCTTGCTTATTTGGTAACCTCTTCGTTTCCTCCTCGCACGAAGCACAGTTTACGTGGAAAGCCTGTTCTCTTTCCTTCGAAAGCCTGCAAACCCTGCCCCATCCCTGTCTGGTAACTGAAATGCCGTGTGCTGTTGTCATTCAGGACCCAAATTTGAGACAATATTTTCATCAAAGTATTTTCTTTAAATACTCCAGAACACAAACGGAAAAGTTATGAATAATTTTTAGTCCAAAAGGGAATAATTAACTTCCTTTATAGTCCTTCCTTAATTTCCTACCTGAGTGTGTTTTGGTAGAGTGAGTTGTAGAGTAAATCTAGTTTTCCTGTTTCTGCGTAATATAATATTGGAGACGTACTCCGATGGTCCAAACGATGTGAACTCTGTCCCCCCCGCCCCCCCCCGCGTTAGAAGGCGTCCCCGATGCACCCTGCTCCCTCGCACACCAGCAGCAGGATGGCCACCTCTGTCCTTACGGAGAGGTGTTGGCGTCGGGAGGGCGTCATCAGCATCTGCCAGACCCGAGTTCAAATCCTTTCCTCCCAGTCACCACCTCCGTGATCCCATGCGGATGACTGACCTCTCAAGCCCCAGGGCCTGCAGAGTAGAAAGGAAGCTGGGTCGGGTAGAAGGAAATGGGAGGGTTTGCACCCGGCCTGCGCCCTGGGCCTGCCAGAGAATCAGCGCTGGAATCGGGGGCGTGAGCTCACAGCCATCAGTTGGAAGTCAGTTACGTGGTTCTGGGGACACTTGTCTAGGAAACGGGGATCAGGGTGGGTCAGCCTTCGCATGGAAGGACCTAAGGTTCCCTGGATGCGTTAGGATGCGGTTACGTGTCCCTGTGACCTCTCACTCCTTGGTGCCTCAGTTTCCCTGGGGAAGGGGCAGGGGCACGACAGCTCCCAACTCAGTGTTGTCACGAGGACTCGGTGAGTTCATGCATAGACAGCATCAGTGCCGAGCCTCAGCCGTGTGAGGGCTCAGAAGATGCCTCTTATTGTTGTTAACTGTTCCTTGTTTCTAGCGGGGAGGAGGGGCCTCAGAGTCACATGGGCTGTTTTTATCATGTAGATGCCAGAGCTCTACACTGGCTGTATAGTGCAGATTCCTCGGGAAGGGATGTGCATGTGTGCGTGTGTGCGTATGTGTGCATGTGCGTGCGTACATGTGTATATGCATGGGTGTGTGTGCATGTGTGTATGTGTGTGCATGTATGTGAGCGTGTGTGCATGTGTGTGTGTGTGTATGTATGCGTGTGCAAACACATTAGTAAGGGATCCTGATATGCAGGCTCCATCTGGCGGAAACCGTTCGCCCAGACGTAATTCTAAATACAGGCAGTGAAAGGTTTGCCTTCATCACCGTTCATTTCAACTTGCCTGTTACTGTCCCATATGGATGACTTTGTCACAAGTGGCCCTTTCATTGTATAAATCGACAGTCTTTCTCCCAGCTGTCATCTCATGAGAGTTTCCCTTCTACTAGGTCAGCCCTCTGAGCCTCAAACTCGGGGACCTCCTGCAGGACCCAGGGCCGCCTCTTGCAGAGTCCTTCAAAGCGGAGAGCAAGAAATCGGAGGAGCCCGAAGCCGCCTTGTCGTCAGAGGAGGAGGGGGCTGGAGTGGAAAACGTGAAGAGTCAGACGTACTCCAAAGATCTGCTGGAGAGGCCGCCACATTCGCAGCCCTGGGGCGACGGGCTTGGGGAGTCTCAGCGCTGGGCCCCGGGGGCCTTGCAGGAGGACCAGCCGCTTGAAGCAGGAGCTCAGGGACAGCCGGGCGACGGCCTGCGACTGGAGGTCAAGTCTCCCGCGGAGGAGGCGTACGGTTACATCGTGACGGACAATGAGTGAGTAGAGCTCTGGTCTGTGCCAGGTGCCCAGGATACGGGTTCCTTGCTGGATGGGGTGTAGGGGAGGGGGACTTTCATTTTCACTTGTCTTCATGGGAGAGATACGCAGGCATCCCGGTATCTCAGCTGTGGGAGGGCAGCCCGTCCCTGTCACCCAGCGCTTCGGACCTGGGGACCCGAGCGTGACGGCGATTCCCCACAAAACAAAACCGACACAAAACCCCTCCCGCTCGTTGATCTTGGCCTCGTCAGCTGCTGGTCAGACCCAAGGCACGTTGATGCTGCGGGTTTCCCAGAGGGGCTGGTGGGGCGCTGGGGTAAGCTAGGCCTGGGCCATGCAGCCGGTCCTGGGGGGTGGGCAGGCGGGCTGTGCGCTGGGTGCTGTCCCCGCCCCGTGAACTCCAGGAGCTTTGCGTCTTCCCCACCAGGGTGGTTGTAATATCAGGGTTCGAGTCCTCGGGCTTCAGAGGGCAGAGCCAGCCTCACAGCAACAGCGTGTCCTGTCCTCAATCTATTTTCATCTAAGGGACGAGGGACCGAATTCAAACATCATGTACCCAGCAAGTGATGGGGGGTCAGCCCCGTTTTTCAGGTCATTTCACTCTTGAAGCCGACCTTTGACGCTTTGCTTTGTAAAATGTTGTGTTTTTTTCAAGTAATGAAAGGTGTTTCAAAGGCAGAAACACATCGGCCTGGTGACACACACACGAGTGTGCGCACATGTGTAAAGCCTGGTTTTGCTTTGTGGTGTCCGTTTGTCCTGGTGCTTCTGCATCAGCTCAGAAGCCGGTCGTGTGTCAGAGGTCACTGTCAGGGGAGGGGCTGCGTCGGAGCCGCTGTTCTCCTGCCAGTTTGGCACGATCACGCCCGTGCTCACGCCTCCCCCAGCGTGTGTGCACCGCTGCCTCACCGCACACAGCTGATGTCACCAGCGAGAAGCGTGGCGTGCCACCCCTGGGCACCATGCATTCTACTCTGAGCTCAAACCACAGATCACATATCAAAGCAGATTACAGTGTGAGACTCCAGCGGTGGAGCTGTTCCCACGCGCGTGTGTAGAGACGTGCTCACAGCGCACACTTGCAGCTGCACCAACGCGGTGCGTCCATTTTCGCGAGGTCGGTTTTATTAAGATGCGCCTGTGGTTCCGATCCCTTGGCCTGGACGGTCCCCTCTGTCCTCGTGCTTCCCTCAGAATGAGCAGCTCCGAGTGGGCGCTGAGCCCGCAGAGACGTGCAAATGGGACCAGGAACGGCGTGTGCTGCTGAGGGCGCAGCCCTGTGCTGTGGCGGCCAAGTCGGCCGTGGACGCAGACATTACAGCAGCCTGTTACCTACTGTGTGTGGTCAAATGCCCTGTGTCCTGGGTTTTCCTCCTTGGAAACAACACTGTGCTGAGTGTGTGTGTGTGTGTGTGTGTGTGTGTGTGTGTGAGATCACCAGTGGGACCTCCACTGCACAGCTGCTCTGGGGACCTTTCCTCCCACCAGGACGTCAGCGTCCTCGTGTCCTGATGCCCAAGGGCTCAGTCCCAGCATGAGGTGACCATGCTTGCAGGAACGCTGGCCACTGTTCCCCCAAACTCCCTGTTTGCGGTCCTGGGGTTCAGCTGCAGCGCAAAGGAGAATGCGCCCCTGGGATCAACGTGAACAGCTGAGGGCGGTGCATTTGTTTTGGGGCTTTAGTGCAGGACAGTCCATCCGGCCGGTCTGTGCACCAGGGTGGACGTGAGAGAATGGCCGCCAAGTGAGCGGTCAGCACTTATGACCGGGAGAGACCGATCCCACCGGGCGCTTCCTCTTGCTCTGGTTGACCCCCCAGGAGGAAGGGCAGCTGTGCCAGGGGGAGGTTTTCGCGGCATTCCGTTTATTTTCCTGCAGAGCTTTCCTGGCCCACCCAGTGGGACCTGACTGAGCACGTACCAGGCGTGGGTTAGAGAAAAACCATTTTCTTATCTCAGCTGACTTCACCTTTCCTTTTGGTGCCTCAATAGGATGAAAAACACATGGTGCCGCTAATTCAGCTTTGTCTCCCTGTCTGTCACCTGGTCTACACACCGGGAGATTACACCTCCTTCTGTCTGTAGACAGAGTGAGGTTTCTGCCTGTTATCAGATTCACTGGTAATTTGGGGTTCTCGGGGGTGAGATTTCTCCAGATTTCAGCCTAAGTCTTAATAGATCAGCTATTGACAAGAATCCAATTCCATCCTCTTAAAAATCAGGACTTTTGTGTATTTGGTTGTCCCATAAAAAGGAGAAGGAATGGGACTCACAGCTCAGTGTATCACTGACACGCGTGCCCCTGCTGATGATTCGGTGGGAGAGGGTGGGGCCCGGCTTTGCCCCCATTCCCGCGCTCACTGTTCCTCACGGGCAGGGTGTATGTAGTTAATCCTGCGCCATTTGCATTTTCATCCTCTTTTTACAAACTAGACGGATTATTTAAGACTGGATGAAGGGCAGGACAGCCATCCCCAGTCCTCCAAGGACAGTTTCAGAATCATTTCAAGTGAGGCTGACAGGAGATCACAGGACGGAGGGACTAGAAGCTCTCAGCAGAGGAGAAATCCCTTTTACATCTGACGAGTAAATGCTTCAGAGACACGCGGCCATGCTGGTCACCGCGTGCCTCTCCCCACCAAGCCCAGTCCTGGTGTTGGGGCTGCTCCTGGAGGATTGCTGGTGACGCTGAGGGTGACCTTGGAGAGGAACCGTGGTCATAAGCACGTGCAGGCTGAGGGGCAGCAGTGGGGCATCGTCAGTAAGATGTTGGAGACAAGCGCAGTCCGTTGGAGAAGCTTCTAGCTGCCCCTCGGGACAGAGCTTCCCCAACAGGCTCCGGGTGGCTTGTGGACAAGGGTCCTTGCTGCTGAGCAGGCCCTCAGGGAAGCTCCTGGCGGTCCCTCAATGTGGTCAAGCACTGGTCTCCATCTGGTCCTGGCAGCTTCCATGGGGTGACGATGCATGGAGCCCACCGTCGGGGCGGGAGACCCCAGCGCCATGGGACTCGGACAGGAGTGTGTCCCCTGGTGTGGTCCCCTCATCTAAGCGGCAGTGGGGGTGGTACCCATCTTGAGGGGCTGTTGGGGTGAACACGACCAGGAAGAGCAGCAGCTGGGATGCAGGGGACATTTAGTGAATAAGAGCATCATCCCACTATCTGTCACCAGAGAGAACACAGCCCCACCTGCAAGAGGAGAGGAGTGCATGAGCTTCAGCTTGGAGGTCGGGGTCGGAGGGGCAGTGACCTCAGTGTGTGAATGGCGGCATGAGGACATGCCGACAGGAGGGCCGGGCTGTCCCAGGGGCCCCGAGCCACTGGGGCCTGTCACGTTCCAGACACGGACATGTCCCACCTTCAGGTCTTCTTACCAGGACACTTCCTTCCACTTGGGATAAGCCAACCAGTGAAGTTACAAGGACATGTCACGGTCCTGATTAAGGTCATGTCGAGTCCCGCCCTGCTCCTATGCAGGTGTGCAAAGGCCCATCTCTGACAGCACCTCCCCCGTGGGAGTTGGTCAGGTTGTCTGATTAGAGAGCTGCCACCTAGACGTCACGCACAGGCCAGCCTTCCTCCATGGGAGAAGTTTAGGGCTCGGGGCCCAGAAGTCTGGAAGAACGTTCAGAAGTCAGTTCTCCACTTGCCAAGGCCTCGGGGAATGTGTGTCAGGCCCCGGGGTTTGTCCTCAGAGAAGATGTGGCCTCTCCCGGGGACCAAACCACCGTCCTCTTCCCACAAGAACTTCCTGTCCATCACCTAGAGTGTGGGAGTCAGCTTGGTCAGAGCCTTGGGGAGCAGACCGCCCGCCTCTCTCTCCTGTTCTTCTGACTGTGAGGCCGCTGTGCTCAGCAGTGACTCGCGGTCTCCTCTGGGAACCGGTGCGGTTGAGGAGGAAGGATTCCCGGCTGAGGGCCGGTGCTGTCTGATCCGGGTTCTCCCACTGCCTGTCCCAGAGCCTCTGGCTGCCCACAGAGCACCCCCAACCCCGCCAGCTACACACACAGCCCTGACTGATGGTCAGCACCCCTGCGTCAGACCTCACGTCCCACGTCCAGCTGTCAGGGCCTGTCCCCGCCCTCCCCTTGCTGCCTCAGTCAGTCGCCGCGCTTGTCCTGATCACTGCGGGGGCCTCCCTGTGTCCCCCTTCTTCAGTCCGTGATGCACCTTGCACCCAGAGACCGCTTCATAGTCCGCATCTGACTCTCACCCTCTCCGCTTAGTCCCTGTAAGGTGGAGACCCCAACCTTAAGGTGATCGCGGCCTGTGGGCTCTGCAGACTCACCACCCGCGTTTGCCCTCTGGGTGCTGGGCCACGCCCGCCTGCTTCCTGCTTCTGGGATGTGCAGGAGCCACTCGACCCTCTAACGCCCTCATCCAGGCCCTGTCCCAGTTCCTTATTTTTCGTGAGGCAATGGATTTGGGTTTTGTTCTTACATATGCAAATTTTTAACATTCCCAAAAGCAAGAGAATAAGCCAGGCCCCTTAGGCTACTTTGAAACAAATCCTAGTTGTGTTGTCTTAAAAACATTCATGAACTGTCTCTAAAACATAAGGATTCTTTTTAACATTGCATGTGCCCTATCTCACCTAAAAAGTAACAGAGACCCTAACTCAAGTGTCCAGCCTGTGTTTCAACATCGTCAGCCCTTGTTTTCTGAGCCAGGCTGACCTAACCTGTCAGCTCACTTTCTGTACTTGGTTGAGGTCCCAGGACGTGTTGGAGTCAATGTCTGTTATTGGCTTGAAATCTAGAGCTGGAGGATATTCGTTCTTGTCTGACCTGTAACCGTGGTGGCAAGAAAAGTGAGAAAATGCCATAAAAGCTCAGATATGGTGGGATGAGAACAGTTTCAGCATCTCTTAGACGTGGCTTCCACGTCAGCCAGCCACATCCAGCCACGAGGAAGATGCCAGAAAGACAGTGCTTTGCCAGCACGGACCCTTTCACGTCTCTGTGAGCCTCCCTCTCGCAGTCCATCTTCCTGCTGCCGC